GTTCTACGGTTTAAAATAAACCGGCTATATCAGAATAATGATTTTTGAGAAACTGTGATGACACTACTATTGAATCAAACAATAAATGAATGCTCCCAATTGTAAGTTAAATTTAACCGAAACGTTAAATTTAAATAAAGAGTACGTGTTGTATACAAAATTAATATATTTCACACTAATATTAGCAAGTCAAGAAGAACCTATCCCTGGATATTGTTTATGACAATATTTTTAATTTAAGATATTAACTTAGAGATCAATGAAATGTGTACAATTTTTTTAATAAAATTTATAATAAGTAAAATAAACATGAAACATATTAAGTTCGTAATCTATTTTTTCACTTTAGAATTTGTTGTACAGTATGTATGTCGTTACATCTGTTGCATTGAAATAAGTATAAATTTAAATATAACGTATAACATGCGTCAACTCTGATAAAAACTAATAATTAATCAAGTACTTTCGAACGAGGCTATATTACCTTTAAATTTAAAACTTGCAAAAACACGGTAACATAGATAGAAATTTAGAATGTAACCGCGGAATAACTGAAGGATACTGTGGGAGATTCTCTTAGTAATTGCTAAACCCAAAACTGTGAGCTAGACGGCGTCGTTGGCGTCCTGGATAGGCGCCACGGTGTCGGACGTCTCTCGTATTCATCCCTCTTCTTCTTTATTGCAGTTTCTTTATCAAAATATATTGATTTTCCAAAGAACCGGATCTAGCTAAAAATGAATGTGCATCATGATAAATTAGATAATCCAAACGTGACTAATGAGGTTAGTTTATATGATTTTTTCGATTTCAGAGAATCCAACTTTTCCTTGGCCCAGAGAGAAAAGGGAAACGTTTCCAAAGAAGAAAATAAAACGTTAAGTTACACGAAAGAAAGGGGTCACATGGTTGGGTAAACTGAAATGGAATTCGACGCCATTCAATGAATCTTTGAACAGTTCAAGTGAAAAAATAAATGTATATACACACCTACGTACTAAGTATATAATATAGAGCATAGGCACAGAGACGTAATAATTTTAACCCTTTGCACTCTAGAAGCATCTGTCAGCCACCACTTGATTTCATATAGAAAAATTATAAAGCTTCATACTTAATATTAAATTTTATATACTCCAATAGTTCCAAAAAATGTTGCCCACATTTCAGTTGAAAATATATCGAATACTTCTAGTAAAAAACCTTTGGAGTGCAAAGGATTTAAAAGAGGACAACAAGCTTTGTAAATGATAGAAAATGTTGTTATTCAGTAGGTAATATTTATTTATTTGATAAATAAATTATATGTATGTATACATGTGTAAATACGTAGCGTAAATGACTTTAGTGTAATCAAACAGTAATTATACGTATATGTAAGTCTAGTTTTTATTCAAGAAACTTGAAAAGCGAGAATATTATTGTGGACACGTAATTAGGTAGCATTTTACATAATTATAAACGCAATTTACGAATCGATTTGGTCAGGGACGCTGCTGGCTTTAGTTAGGTTAATGGACTAACGTTTTTCGTCGTATTCACAGCTCCCTCCTCCCTTCAGTTGTTACCGCTATGATTTATCTGCAAGTAGTTTCCTTTAGTTAGCTTGCTACGAGCCACGAGGAATCGCATGCATATTTCATGTAAAATAAATTCTATTTTAGAAATTATTTCCAGCGTAGAACGAGTATCGCACGATCATTGCGCGGAGTGGCACGATCGATAAAATAGGCGATATTGTAGAGTACACTTTCGGTGTTTACGTGATGCAACAAGTGAATACGTTAGAAATTATGCAAACACTGCGACCTGTAAGGTTCGTCTGTACATGATATTATTATACTGAAAGCTGTTTTGATTAAAATATATAGAGTGCTGGAAACTGATAGCTTAATAAAAAAAAACGTAGACATGACGTCATAAGATAGTTTCTTATACTTTATGTATTTACGAGGCATATTACGTAATATACACTTATACAATTTGCTAATAGCGATTTTTTAAGATAAAAGAAGCAACATACTTTTTTATCGTAAGCATCTTAATTTGGTTTCTATATTTATTTTTATGTAATTCATTTTGAAAAAAAAACATTTCTTATGTAAAAATGATTTTACTAATTTCGCTGATTTAAGATATAAGTTAAATTCTTTATTAAAGATATTAAACTTTTACTCAGTTTCTATGAATATATAAAAGAATTATTGATAGTATAATGTAAAACAATGTATACATGATTTTATTTGTTTTTATTGCTTGTATAGGACAATTCATTAATAATTAGCAATGTATATCTTCAAACTGTATTAACAACATTGTTTCAGAGTGAAGGAAGCTATAAGGTGGCAGTAATGGTACTTTCATATGTGGAAGAATTTCGAAAATTTCAAGGTCTCCTTCATTTTTAAAAACTGAATTACATGTTATTTTATGCATTATTTGGCGTACCTTCTTATTCTTTATAAAAGAGTGTTAATTTATGTATGTCGAAAAATGATTAATTTATGAGATAATTAAACTTTAACTTTCTTTAATTCTTTAGATCTTATTCCCTATATTTTTATGTTTATTAACTGATAACTGCTTCCTTTACGAAGATCTAAAGAATTAGAATTAAAGTATTAGTTACAATCAAAATATCTCCATCACTAATCAATTTTCGACATCCACAGAATAATACTGTTTTACAGAGTATATACAGAAAAGCATACGATTCTATTTCTAAATAATGAAAATGATCTTGAATTTCTAGAATACTTCCACTTGGAAAAATACTGTTATTATCACAATATAACCTCATTTGTATTGAAAAAATTTTGTTAATAAAGTTTTCTTATATTTCCAAAAACAGTAGAGATATTCAAAGTACCACTCTTACTGGATCACTCTTATAATGAACATAATACATATTCTCATTATGCACATCAAATTTATGGAACCCATGAATTTATTTGAATTTAAGTGCTGTGCTCGAAGTTATCGACCTGAATATTATTTTATCGAGCCTTACGTTGACTTTGCTAATACATAATAAGTAATGAATATAACAGTTGCAAATCTTAAATCTTTAATTCTCAAAAGTATTCAATTATTTTCGGATATTCATCAAGCTTTTGGATAATATCTATCGTTATCTTCATCTTTATAATAATGAAACGTTATTGTATCTTTCGTACAGTATACTATATAAGCCCAGAGATGACTTATGATACCGGAGAACTCCGATTATCTGAACTAATTGGGAGAGTTTGAAAGAACCCTTATGAACACACCATAAATCAGTTAGAAATTAAACAGCTTTCAGATGTATTTTGACCATTTTTGTATTCATTCAATAATATTTCTGACATATTGAATATATTGAAATATTCTGAAATATTCTGAAATATTTTAAAAACATTTCTAAAACTTAACTGTACGTACTAAACTTAAACAGGATATTAAAATAGGACACTTGAAGCAAGAAGAATATGTTTTCTAAAATGTAAATATTGGCGAACTGTATAATCGAGCCTTCACGTAATCAGAAATCTAATAATTGATATTTGGATAAATGACGATTCACTGTAATATAATCTTATCATTTCTCTATAACTATTTATGATAATTTAAAATATTACATAAAAATTTAGACATGCATTTTTATTTTACCCGTTAAAAGATCATTTTACTAGATAAGTGATCACTAATATTTGATTCATAACATATAGTCCTGCTCTTAGCCAAGCCGACCATAGGTTTAAAAGTGCACAGAGGCAAGGGGACTCTATACCTGCACTATTCACAATACTAAAAAATGAAATTGTAACAAATGATGGTTCGTTTATAGTTCTTACTTTAACGCAATGTTTTATAAATGATTCTCGTACTCCGCAGTCGTTGTGTGATACGATCGCCAAAATGCTAGTTGGAGAGTAACTGTAGAGAAACGTATTACAACTTCGCAAGCGTAAGAAAGGTTTTAATATATCGAGAGACAGAATTTCGCGTTCTAGCAGAATCTATGGTTAACTTCCTATTTGTTATTTCCAGGGGCCTTATATACAGATATTTTGAGTGAACTTTTGGTCTCGTAACCTTATTCGGCAAGAGATTGGTGTGTGTGAGATATCTGATCGAGTGAGAGCTTGGGGTGACACTTTCGACGCATGGTCGTTATTGGCGCGAGGCAATAACAAAGCTCGGAAGGGAGACCGAATGCGATGAAGTTAAACATGACGATAGAAAACAAAATTCTCTATAGTTTCGTCTCACTTCGTCGCATTCGGGCACGCTTTCTTCCGTTATTGCCGCGCGCTAATAATGACTATGCGTTGAAAGCCGAGCGTTGTGAGCGGAAGAGTCCCCTTGCCCCTGTGCACTGTTAGCTTGGTGGTTGATGGAGCTAACGTAAGAGCTGCACTGTATATCATTCGCAGAGGTGTTCACGCACACTGATCGGCTCGAGCAATAAAGAGCGCAAACAGTCGTTTTCAGACGCACAATTGGATTTCTCGGAGCGTCTGTTCCTGCTGTTAAGACGTCACGATTGCCAAGTTCGCTGCAACGAAACGTTTTAATCGGTGTCACTAAATTCAGATCGCCCGTGAAAACTACCGCGTAAATATCGTTCTAATCTACCGAGCGAGAGAGAGACCAGCGTAAAAAGAGACCCGCGCAAGAAGAGGTTAGTGGGAATTGAGGTTCAGGTCTAAAATCACCACCGATCGGATCGCACCACCTGTTTCGAATCACGTGAATGTAAAGATAAGTGTATACAGATATACGTACATGCATATCGATAAAGAACGAACTCGTAAAACACGGTTGACGTTGAGTGCGTCGCGTTGATTCACGCCCAAAAGATTCACCGGGGGATTCACGGGGCCAGGGTAGAATTTACGCGCGTTGCGCGAAAACGCGGCCCGCGGCCGGCGCGCGCGGCGCGTCGGAGTGGCGCGGGAGAGACGCGGTGAAAATAGGAGAGGAGTGGCGTAGTGAGTGGTGGTGAATCTCGCAATCTCTTACTCGCGATCAGGCTGTCGACTCGACGACAACCCTTCCCGGAGCCAGTGCTTTACTCTCCGTCACGCATCGCAGTTTGCATACCGTTCCCCCAGAACGAGTTTCTTCGAGAGAGTACCTGCCACTTGCAGAGGACTTCCGGCATGCAACGAAGGATCGCAGTGCTAATCGCCGGTCTTGCGCTCGTCTCGGTGGCTCGTTCAGGTGAATATTCTAACAATACGGGCTCGTTTATTTTCGTTGTTCTTTTGTTTGTTTGTTTTAATTGAATATAAAGAATGCACTGGTGAAATTTTAGTGGACGCGCACGAAAGAACTTTTGCTGGTGTGACGAAGTTAGGGGAGTTTAGTCGGCAGTGGTATGGGCACGCCGGTGGTCAGACGGGTGTATTTTTCTTTCGGGAATCGTTGAGATTGTTAATTGCGAACGGCGACCTTTAGTTGATGATGCTTGTTTCTGTAATTCTGTAAGAGTTTTGGGAAGTATTAAATGAACCGTTTTTTTTTCTTTTTAGTGATACAAGTCAATTTTTGGGAAAAAATGAGTTTATTAGTGAGATTTAGATATTCACTTTTTATATTTATCATGTGATCAATGACGTACGATATTATCACGAATTGATCGAAAGAAGTTTAGTTATAAAATGCTATCGCAAAAATGTTTTCTTTGAAAGTGGAATAAGTCTATTTGTAGCTAGAAGGTCGTTTATTTTCTTTAACAATTTTATTATTGTGTAATAAAGTTTAACAAGTTTATGGTTTTGTAAGTAATAACCGCATTGATTAACGTTTGCCAATATTTTTAAGTTGATCCAAACATAAACCCTTAAATATCTCTATGTATGAAAAAAGGACTTACCACTTGAAAAAAAAAGCGGTTCAAATATGGAAACCTGTTGTTACGATAAAGGAACTATTACGCTCTAACGGTAAATGGAAACTTAATTATTTGAAAATTTTTTGAATTATTATTTGAAGAAATCGAAAGTATATTTTTAATATAATTGTAATGGTTAGAAAGTAACATAGTTTCTTGTTATTAATTAATAAATGGTGCCTTCCTGTAATTATTTAATCAGATTATTAAATTAATTGATAAATTTACAGGATATGTTTAATAAATATTGTAAAAACAACTGCAAATATACATTTATTTATGAACATTGGTTGTTTTAATATAGACGCTTCATTATAGAAAAAAATCAATTATTTAAATGCCCAGGGAGGAAAGTTAAAGTTCTTGGAAATTACTTTAATGTAGATTGATTGTTCTTATAACTTGATGTTATTGAGCGAAGACATTGAGCAACAATTGGAAAATAAAGTTTCACAATGAGAAAAAGTTCCTTCTTCCTCTTGTGTTTTCTTGTTAGATATTAGTTACTGTTTATTGGATATCAAATTTCAACAAATCAATTTATGAGACATAAATAAATGAAATGATTTTGGCAATCATTTTATATATAATTATATTATAAACGTATTTTCTGCAAATACGCGTACTCCGTTCTACTAAAGTCGAATTTATTATAAAATACTTTAATGCCAATTTTGATCATTTGAAAGTTTATAAATTGTAAAATATTCAGAACATTGATTATACATTCTTTTTGTAACTATAATTTTTATTAATTTTATAAATTTGAGTACAGATAAGTGTTACCGATTACAAGTTATTCATCGCCTGACTAAACAAGTGTTACACCACTTGTTTTAATCAATTTTACTGCGTGTTCAAATTTGCAGTAAAGCTTTTTTTAAATGAATTGCTATGAATTTATTTATGGACATATATGGATATAATATATTTGAAATTTGAAATTTGAAATTTAAAGTTTGACATTTAAAATTTGAAGTTTAAAATCTGAAGTTTAAACGTTGAAAATTAAAAGTTGCTGGATTTTTTCGTCGCATTTTACTTCAAAACAAAAGGATAGTGGGTTAAGTGCAGTTTGTCGAACTGTGACTGGCTGAAGTTTAGGGGATATGGGTGGCGTCGCGACGTTTGGCGCCGCGAAGCTGCGACCCAAATAATAACTACATACACTGGTTTACAGAAGTACTCGAATACCGAGAATCAACATCGTAAGTTAAGTGCGGAATGTTTAAATGAAATATGCCAGTGCACATACTTTTATATGCAGTCATCTCGAAAAAGAAGTTAATGCAAGCATTAAATTATTTTCAAGAACTAACATAAAAGATATTATTACGTTATGGTTTTTATTTATTAATTTTATTTAGATGATTGAATATTTAATACAATAGTTCCAAGTGAAAATTTCATATTTTCAAGAATATTAATTATTGTCATTATAATATTTCTTATAGTGCTAACAAATGCTTTTGAGGGGTAGTCAACTTACCTTTTATGGTCAATGTACATATGTAATTATACGTGAGAATTGGTTACACGATCTATGCAAATATTAGTGAGTTATGAAAATAACTACACGTTGATAATAATTAACTAATAATATTAAAGTTTATTACTACGATTTCAATATAACTTTAAATAGAACATTTGTGAAGTTATGATGCGATAGTATACATTTATTTTTGTTTTATAATTACATTTTATATGTCGTTTCGAGTATTAATGAATTATAACACGTGTACATGTATATAACTTTGAAAAACCTTCGAGCACGTATTTGGATATTCAAATAATCTCTTTGTAGATGAATGAAAAATAATACGTATATATTCCTCGAAGTATATTTGGATATTTTTAGTGTAGGTTAACGACGTCTAATATGGAGCAGCACTTAATATGGAACACTGCAATATTTCGGAAAATAAGTAGCTTAACGCATACAATTACCATGGGAATCACTGCATTAGCAATGGAAAACAATCGTGTCAATAATTGGGCATCAATTAGAAAGTTATTGAATGCAAAATATTATTGTATTTAATAGCATGTAAAATTTTCCGAGAGAGAAGTCCAATAATAATTAAGTTTTTTAGTATTGGTAGATTAAAAAATATTAGTTTTTCATTATTTATTATTAAATATGTTTGTTTCTCAGTATTCAGTAGCAATTTGCTATAAATTTATTTTATTCCTAGAATAGTAATTATTTTTTATTGAAATATATTTTTCTGTGGCAACATGTTTCATATGAGTTATATATTTTTTGTTAACATTGTATGATATTATAGTATATTTTTATTTTTTGGTGGCAATTACAAATATATATAAGATAACAGAGAAAAGAATATAGGAGTTTCGATATGTCATTCATGTATCCAACGTTTTAACGAAAAAGAAACAAATCAATATGATATAAATTTAAAAATATGGAAGATTTGTTTATTTATCCTTTTATTTTTAATTCAATAAATATTGATTTCTCGCGGTAAAAATCAATTTTTTTCACAAATTTGTTAAGTGTTCCACACTAGGAACCATTCTTCTCATTTGTTGTGTTTGAGTTTATTTACATTTTCTGTCGTGGCTTCAGGCACTTAAATTTTTGTATTGTTATCGATTAGTGTATGAATGTTCATTAATTTCTCTATATTCTGATGCAAGTTTCATTGAAAAAATGCGTATCTTTTATTTTGGCAGGCTTTTCAAATCATGTGTTTCATACCAGGTGTCGTTATAAAGAAATTGTATTTCATAAAAACTGATATACATTACACTCATACTAATAAATACCATTCATTCTACCTTAAAGACTTTTAAACAGTATTTACGTAACATCTTCAATAATTCAAATATTTCTTCTCAAATTTAACATTTAACAGAGAAAATACTAGACCAACATTGCTAAGTACTATAAACATTATAAAATTTTGTTTCATACGTTACCAATCTAAGGACACAATATATATTAGTTTTACAATAGTGTTTCTACCGTACCCGTAACTTAATTTCCAAGACATTTATTGAACTTGTACCGTTTTATATTAATATTTCATCATTATATATTTGAAAAAAAGTATATTTTTATGATTTATTAAAGCATGTTCAATATAAGGCAAATGTGTAGGGACACCGAAAATATAGTCTCGTTTATACAGACCCTTGGAACACTGTATTGGTTAGGTAGAATTATGTGATGGCCAAAAGGGATCCGACATTGTTGAGGCGTCTACCAGGCGCCAGAGGGAGCAGATTATTTACTCCTCCCGGAAAACAAAGAATCGTTGAATTGAAATGGACTATAATCTGGAAAAATGGCCCTCACATTTTTCCAGAAAACCTGTTTCGTAGAGAATATTCTATGGATCATATTTATTTGTGTGTGAGTCATAAGTATTCGTACACCAGATATTTGAGTAGAAAAATAGCTACAGTTTTTATTTAATTTAATTATACTTAGAAATGTATAATCTTATGTTATATAATTTTAGTGTTACATATCTGTTTTTACCAGTTATTTAAATGATTTCTTTTCATTAACGAAAAGTTACAATTTCTATGATTAATAAATTGATTTAACGTGTTGAAAACACTACAAAGTAGGATAATTTAACAATTAATAGACGACGGCTTTTTATTTATTTGTGTTATATGGGAACAAATACTTAATAATAATGGTTGTAGTGTATATTTTACTTTCATCTTAAGAAAATTTCTGTTTGTTTAACATTCTTTGTTGATCCTTGTTCTTATGGCAATGCCTGTAAACGTGGGAATTTGTATAAATATTTTCAGTAGAATAATTAATAGGTACAAAATATCACTTCACTACTAGCGTATTTTTACATTCTATTGTATATACTATATTATTGTACCTAATTTGTATGATACAAAATTTTGAAACGTACAGTTTCGATTTTAATTAATGTACGTTATTTTTACAATGTTTATAAACTTTCTTAATCTATCTAGAACTTTATTTAAGACTTTATTCAATACTAATTTATATTACAAGTAATAAATATTATTTGAAGTTAAATTCTAAATAATATTGTGTAATTGAAATTGCAAGTGGTTTAACATTTAGGTACGTTTAATTCTATATCTCCACGTTTACAGCTTTATGAATGTCTATAATATATATTAAACAATACCTACTAATATTTTATATTAATTTATTTCTTCTGCTTAATTGATAAGCTTTCAATCTACATAAGAAACACCTAATACGTTCATCTAATACTTTTGTAAATTGCTATTTATGGAGATTTCAATAACTAAGCACCAATTAATGATAAGTATATATCATATAGCACATAAAAATGGTTAAGAAGGAAGAAGATAAAATGGACGTTTTCAGGGATTTCATTCTTTCGATATTTTTAAATGATTAAACCTATTAATGGAAGAAATAAAATTCTATTTTGTTTCAGTATAAAAATACAACTTTGCATAAACGTCTACAGTATAATAATTACGAAAATACTGAAGTATCATATAAATGATTTTCTTCGATTTTGCAGATGAAACTTTGAAATGCTACATGTGCACTTCTCTTACGAATCCACACTGTGTGTCTAATCCTAAGGCAGGCAATGTCAAACTTGTCGAATGTACTCTTCTTCAAATGCACGAGTGGCAACGAAATTTTCAACAGCACAACATTTCGAATGTAATATCGCACATTTTCGATGTTGACCATTCGAGGAATTATCAAGCCGTTGGACCGATGGCCTGCGCTAAAATGGTTTTAACAGGTAAGTTACGTTTTTAATCTTTAACAAAGAAATCACTATAATTATTAATGATAACAGATTTGGACATAGTTTTTATTACTAATTTTGTTTTGAAAATAAAGGCTGTTTATTTTCTTTAAAGTGAAAGAAAATGTAATGCAAACGCAAACGAAATTCAGATATTTGCAGACTTTTTAAAATGTTTTCTAAAATCAGGGTTGTTACATCGCTTAATATTTACAAAGAAACTATTTAGGTGGAGAAAAAGTGAGTTTTTGTGAACATCTCCCTCCCTCCCTCCCTTTTTCTTAGTATTTAGGGTAGTCTTTTTAGCTTTTTTCAGTAAGAAGAAAGTTTTTATATATACTTATTGTTTCGTTTAGATCAACATATAGCCTTAGTTTATGAATAAAAACGTTTTACTTAACTCTTAATTTTTACTGCAAAATTTTGTTTATAAGTGATCTGTATGCTTTTGTTATAAATAAGGAATGATTATTAATAATTCAAATACGTGACTAGCAGATGGATTCTTTATAAAATTGTTGTTTTAGTTTTTACATACGACATTTAAACAATATGTTGTTTACAATACCTTGTTATTAGAAAGGTATTTTAATTATTGAAAATATAAGCATTTACTTACCTTGTTATTAGAAAGGTACTTTAATTATTGAAAATATAAGCATTTACTTACCTTGTTATTAGAAAGGTATTTTAATTATTCAAATCGAGACGGTTACTTTTAATTGCGACGTTTTTATGGAATTAACAAAAATGATCAGATTTACTATCTACAAACTTTGCCAAAGTATTCTACATCTAACAATATGGTTGAGTATTCATAAGTACTTTATTAAAAAGTTATAACATAAATATGATTCTCGAAGCATAGGAACATACACTTCATCTTAATTTAGTACAGCAATGAAATACCTGCTCGGATTGAATTAATTGGGGCAAACAATATTGTATTCTGATTAAATTAGTAACTATAGACTTGCACCGTTAGAAGTGAATGATACTTTGAAATAGAGAAAGAAATACCGTTTCTATTTCGTATTTCATATTTCTATTATAACTTCATAATAAAACAGTTTTAAATTATATATTATACAACAATATTTGTCTTAATTTGGTCTTATTTTTAGTTCTAGAATATACACGTAGGCGAGGTTTGTCTGAAAATCTCCGAGACACCCTGTACAGTATTCTTACTTTAAGAATGAATATTTAGATGTCTTTAAAATTAGTTCAGTATACTAATCAATTTTGATCACCTTATGGCTAGAAATAAAACAATTAAGGAAAAAAATCTGCATCTTCGTTCGCTTTATTTTTTCGTAAATGTGACAGTAGTTTTATGACGAAACGATTTCAGAATATATATTTATATGTAATATTTATTATTATTAATTATTTTTATTTATTAAATCACACGTTACCCTGAATTCTTAATAGATATTTACACAGCAAAACATTTCTTATCTTTCGAGTAACATTTTTTTGCTAAGTAAGAAACAAACACACAATTTGCTTAACCCTACGATTAATAAAATTATTAACAAAATGAAATTCTTTTGATATGTACTACAGCTGATTTGAAATTTGTAACTGAAACCAGTGCAATGACTAC